CCAAGGCGGGAGCCCGTCCGGCGATTGGCCGGCTCGTCAAAGGCCACGCCGTGTCGCCGCACCACCTCCTCCCCTGGGCTCCCGCGAAGCCCCCCAGTTCCAGGCACGCCCCCGCCCCGAGCCGCTCTCTCCAGGGCCGCCGCGCGGAAGGACACTGTTTACACACGACACTCCCTCCAGCGACGTCGCGCAACTTCCGCCCGCCTTCACTTCCGCTTGGAGGTTGGCCTAAAGTGGCCAATCCCGACGCGCAGCGGCCCGGGCCCGCCCGCCCCCGGGACTCCGGCGCGTCTCTGAAGGACGCGGGCGCTCCGAATGCTTAAGGGCGCGGAGAAAAGCGAACCCCGGGAGCCCGGCCCTGGGGACGCAGGGCCCTTGGACAGGGTCTCCTGAGCTCTTGGTTTCTCCTGGACGCGACCCTCTCCTCTGGAGCCCCCAGCCCGGCTATCAGATCCCCCACACCCCGCGAACCCCCACTCCTTCCCCAAACAAGATGATCGACTCTTCTCCGACCTCGAAGGCCCGCGCGCCTCCCAGGCACCGTCTGCCTCGCCCCGCCGCCTCCCGACCCTGCCTCTGGCCTCGCGCGCCGACCCCAGACCCCCAGGATGCCGGTTCACACCAACAGGTGTTGGCCGGAAGGCTTCCTGCGCAGGACGCTCCTCCCAAGTTTGCACACCCTCACCTTTCTCGAGCACGTAGTCCTTAACTGCCATTGCCCGTGCGGCAGCAGTTGGCGAGTTCAAGGTTCTCACTCCTGGGACTGCAGAAAGCGTCCGCGCGGCGGGCTACTCAAGACCAACCGAAATTGGCGCGAAACGTCGCGCCCCACGTGACCGGCGCCGCTGCGAGCAGGCCTATCGGAGAGGAGGCTCTTCGCCCCTCCCACTCGCCCGCAGGCCCCAGCCTCGGCCAATTACCGGGCGAGCGTGGACTGAGTGACGGGGCAGAATCGCGGGCACCGGGAGGAAAAGGCGGGACGGGGCGGGGCGGGCACCGGGTTTCCCGCGGTCCGAGCTGGCACCGGCCGAGGAGAGATCGCTCTTAAAGGGCCAGCCTCCTCGCGTCCTTTTGTTCCGGGGCCGCAGGGCGGGGCAGGCCCAACTTTCGCTGTCTCCTTGCCTACTCTCCGGAACCGCCATGATCTCTCAGTTCTTCATTCTGTCTTCCAAAGGGGACCCGCTCATCTACAAGGATTGTATCCTTGACCTGCGGGGCGGGAGGAGGGGCCTGGGTGGGAGTAGCGCCCCAGAGCCAGCCTGTGTCGCTGACTCCTTAGCTGTCCTTCCATCCGGTCAGTCCGCGGGGACAGTGGCGGTCGGGATGTGGCCGAGCTCTTCTACCGGAAGCTGACGGGACTGTCCGGAGATGAGTCCCCGGTTGTCATGGTAACCAGTGGCGGGGCGTGGGGTAGGCTCCCGGCGAGCTGGGAGTGGGGGGCGCCTCCTTCCTCCCGGGGCTGTTTCCCTGAGAGCTTGTGCTTGGTGGGGGGGAGGGGTACATTCTGCCCAATAATCCGAGCGACAGTTTCTGGAGCGCTAACGCTATACGGGCGCAGCTCCGCCACTCCGGAGTAGGTGCTGGGGACTCCCTCCGCTGACACATAAGCAGCTGGGCCCCGGGCGGGGGTGGGGGTGTCCCTGGCTCACCCCAAGGCCCACCGCTAGAAAGTCTCGCGGGCCCTTCGCACAGTTCTCTCCCTGACGCTCTCTTCTCCGCCTCTGCCTCAGCACCACGATGACCGTCATTTCATTCACATCAGACACAGCGGCCTCTATTTGGTGGCCACGACTTCAGAAAACATTTCTCCCTTCAGCCTCCTAGAGCTGCTCTCCCGGTGAGGAGGGCAGGGCCGGGCACCTGGGCGCGGGTACGCACGCGCAAGAGGATATGCACACACTCCGTGCGTCCTGTTTTCTCAGGTTGGCCACTCTCCTGGGCGATTACTGTGGCTCCTTGAATGAGGGGAGCATCTCCCGCAACGTGGCTCTTGTCTACGAACTCCTGGATGAAGTGCTGGTGAGGGCCGGGGGGTCTCCCCCGTGGCACTCCATGCCCTGCTGATGTGTGCTGTGATGGGGAGGCTGAGTGCATTCGTTCTCACCCCGTTCCTCCGCTGATCACCCAACGACTGTCCTTCCTCCGCCCGCAGGACTATGGCTACGTGCAGACCACGTCCACGGAGATGCTGCGAAACTTCATCCAGACAGAGGCTGTGGTCAGCAAGCCCTTCAGCCTCTTTGACCTCAGCAGTGTTGGCTTGGTTAGTCAAGGAGAGGAGGAGGAGGAGGAGGAGGGCTGGTGGATGGCGTCAAACCTGAAGATTGTTGCTTTGGGTGCTTTCCAGTTCGGGGCCGAGACGCAGCAGAGCAAAGTGGCCCCCAGCAGTGCAGCCAGCCGCCCCGTCCTGGCCAGCCGCTCTGACCAGGTGAGGACAGGTGTGATGGGTTCAGACCCTGATTTTTTCCTGGGACGCCAGAGGTGGAGATCCTCGCATTGCTAGGTGTGGATTATCTCTTCCCTTACCCCCGTGTCCCCACCCCAGGGTTCTAGCCTCCACTGCCCTGTTCTTTCTGCCTGTCCACTTGAGGACACAGGCCGTTCAGCCTCCAAGCATCCAAATCTCTCTTCCTCAGAGCCAAAAGAACGAAGTATTTTTGGATGTGGTCGAGAGGTTGTCCGTGCTCATAGCCTCTAATGTAAGTTTGGGCCCCCAACCCTGAAGCTGAGGACAGACGGCATTTGGAAAATGTATGGGGCATTGGGGAGTGTCGCCTCTGGGCGTTGAGCTCTCTGCCATTCTTAGGGCTCACTGCTGAAGGTAGACGTGCAGGGAGAGATCCGGCTCAAGAGCTTTCTTCCCAGTGGCTCTGGTGAGAAGCGTGCAAGCTTGGCCCAGGGTGGGGTCTGGGACAGGCTCCTTGGTGCTGTGTACGGTGGTAACTGGCAGCCTTTTCTGACATCCTTTTCTCTGACAGAAATGCGCATTGGTCTGACAGAAGAATTTTGTGTGGGGAAGTCAGAACTGAGAGGTGAGAAGAAAGTAGGTCTCTCGCTCCCGCATCACCAGCCAGAAGCGGCGTGGGACAGAGACACGTTCTCGCCCAGCTCTCCCCAGCTGCTCTCCTCTCCCACACGTGGGTTCCAAGAGACTCTCTCTCCTTCCAGGTTACGGACCGGGGATCCGGGTGGATGAGGTCTCGTTTCACAGCTCAGTGCTTCTGGAAGAGTTTGAGTCTCATCGAATTCTGCGCCTACAGCCCCCTCAGGGCGAGGTGAGGATCGGGCTGGCCTAGCATGTTCCATCCACTATGGGGAAGGGAGGCAGTTCAGGGCTGAGGAGACCAAACTGATCTCTGTTCTTGTCTGGTCCCAGCTGACTGTGATGCGGTACCAACTCTCAGATGACCTCCCCTCCCCGCTCCCCTTCCGGCTCTTTCCCTCTGTGCAGTGGGACCGAGGCTCAGGCAGGTGAGACCATTTCCCTGTTCTGGAACTTTTCTGAAGTCTAAGCTAATACAAAGATGTTCCCAAAACTCATTATGGAGGAGTGGTGGTAACAGGATATACGTCAGAAAAAGACACCCTCCGCCCAACGTGGATTCAGCCCTTAGTGGATCGGTGGCTTGGGGCACGACCCACCAGCAGCCATGCATGGAGGCCCCGGGGTTGTGGGGGGCAGGGGGGTGAGAGGGAGGATGTGAGCTGCCAGTAACACCACCATGCCCTTCCACCCAGGCTCCAGGTTTACCTGAAGTTACGATGCGACCTGCCCCCAAAAAGGTACAGGCGGGGATTAGCCAAGCTCCTTCTGTGGGGAAGGACACAGGGCCCACATACCTACTGCTCTGCCTTCAGATGCATCCGCCAGCTTCAGAATCCCGTTCAGTTAGAGGCCGGAGGGCTCGGGAAGGGGACGGGGTAGCACTGGTGCTGATCCCTAGCTGTGATGTTAATGAAGAACGGGGCTGACTCTTCCTTTTTCCTTTGCAGCCAAGCTCTCAATGTCAGGCTGCACCTTCCCCTGCCACGAGGGGTGGTCAGGTTAGTGGGTGAGCCGCGGGGGCTCGGGCAGTTGCACCCGCTTCCCTGGACGAGAGGGTGGCCCCGGGAAGGGTGGAACTGGCCTGCCCCGGGAAGGCAGGGACTGAGCCCAGCGTTTCTCCAAATTCCAGCCTGTCTCAGGAGCTGAGCGGCCCCGAGCAGAAGGCAGAGCTGGGGGAGGGCGCCCTTCACTGGCACCTGCCTCGGGTCCAGGGCGGCTCCCAGCTGTCAGGCCTTTTCCAGGTACAAGCTGCTGACTCTCTGATCCTCTCCTCCGCCTGCACATTTAGCCCCAGCCTGTCCCTCCTCACGCGGTGGGCCTCCCTGCTTTCCATCCTCTCCAGGCCTCAGCACTCCTTCCCAGTCTCTGTTCCTTACAGATGGATGTTCCAGGCCTCCCGGGGCCTCCCGGTCAAGGACCCTCCACCTCGGCCCCTCTGGGTCTGGGCCCTGCCAGCCTCTCGTTTGAACTTCCCCGGCACACGTGCTCCGGCCTCCAGGTTCGCTTCCTCAGGCTGGCGTTCAGACCCTGCGGCAACGCCAACCCCCACAAGTGGGTGCGACACCTGAGCCACAGCGATGCCTACGTCATCCGGATCTGAGGCTCCCCAGACCAGGACACAGGCAGCAAAGGTGGTCGTCTGGGGAGCTGGAGAGGACGACCCTGTCTTTTCCACCTTGGGCCCGTGGCTGTGGATCTGGCTGGAGAGTCCTGAGAGGCCCGGAGACGAGGCCGGGTCGGCAGGCTCCACCTTCCCGTGGTACCTGACACAGGAAGGGCCGAGGTAGATCAGAACTTACAAATCAGACTTTTATTCTGAGGAACTGGCTGTACAATATCTAAAAAAAAAAAAAAAGTAACACGGAGGAAGCAAACTATTACTTCCTTCGACCCCACACGCGCGCATGAGAGAGAGAGTTGAGGACAGAAGAAAGTTGGCAGATGTGCAACAGCATTAAGGCGCAGGCTGAGGGGAGCCAGACCCAGGGGGCTGGGAGCCGTTAGCTTTCGGAGTCCCTGGAGCCGGAGGGGGGCTATCCCCAGCTTCCTGTTTCCCCCCACACAGGGCACTGCCCCCAAGCGGGGAGGGGGCTGAGGATGGGGGAGGAGCTGGAGAAGGGTGGGAGGCAGGGCCTCCTTTGCCCTCCCCTGTAGTGGGGAGAGAGACCACGATGTACTTCTGGACGCTGCCGGGCCCGGACGGAGCAGTGCTGGGGGGTGCGGTGGTGGCAGTGGAGACCAGCTTGACGATGGGCTGCACGCTGGGGACTGTGGTGGTGACCGGAGAGGTAGTGGTGGAGCCTGAGCCAGGGGCTGAAGTGCTGAGGGACAGGACCTGGGGGAAGGAAGGAAAGGCGCTGCCTGGGGGAACCTGGAGGCTGCTGCCAGCCCGAGAGCGCTGCTCAGGACGAGCGGCCGTGGCCTCGTGGACCTCCTCAGAGTGCCCCTTCCTGCTCTCGTCTTTGGGCCCAGAGGGAACTGGGCTCTACTCTGGGGCCCCCAAGGTACTTGGAGGTAACCCTGGTCATGCTCTCCCCCTCTCCCCCCTGGTCCCACATGGCTCCCAGTACCTGTTGGGTGGAGGAGGCGCTGGAGGAGGACGACATTACAATAAACTTGGTCGGAGGAGGGGACGGCTGAGGCGGGGCAGTAGCTCGCGCGGACACCAACGTCTGCACCGGCAGTGCGATGGAGCCTGGGACCTTCAGCAAGCCAGGGGTGCGAGGGCCAGGCTGAGGGGCCTGTGAGAGGGTCAGCGTGGGCCGGGGCTGCAGGAAGAAGAAGCGGGAAGAAAACGTCAACGTCTAAGAAAAGGAAGGGCCCCTGTTGCTGCTCCTTGGCGGGTATCCCTGGGGTTGGGGAATCCTCCACGAAGGGGGCCCAGACTCCCCCCAACACTATTCTCTCAGAGGCCCTGTGTTTTCCAAAAGCAAGCTCAAGTCTGTGTGAGTGCTGCCCTCCACGTGTTTCTTCACCAACCCCCGACCCCCGACCGCTGCCATCACAGACCTGAGTGATGGTCAGAGTGGTCCTGTTGACCTGCTGAGCCTGCAGGGCGGCCTGGGCCCGGGCCTTGACAACATGGGAGCAGAGGAGGGGTCCGAGGGACCCAAATTCTGCCCGATAAGCATCCTGATTGTCAGGTGGCAGGCGCAGCTTTGCCAGCACAGGGGCACAGTGTTTCTGCAGGGAAAGCAAAAAGCCAGTAGGTGGAGGGCGGGCCCGTCAGGAAGTGGGACAGGGAAGGGGTGAGGAGGAGACACCTGTATTTCAATATGCTGCTGGAGCAGGCCGGACTGCTGGGGTCACCATGTGTGTGAGGGCCACTGGCTTTTCTTCAGAAGAGAACAAGCACCCACTGGTGTGACTGGGCGGCTTGCTGAATACACTGGTGATTTCTAAGGGGTGGTTGGTCCATAGGGTGAGGCCTTACACGGAACGGAGCGCAGTGATGCAGAAGCCCTGGGCAGTCCCGACTAGGGGACGTCCTGGGCTGAGAGTTACGATCTCTTATTTCTTACTTAACCTCTCAGCGCCTTGGTCTCCATCTGCACAACAGTACTGGGCTCTGAATATATGAGGCAAGGACGGGACGAGGGAATAAAAGCCAGCCCCGGCTGAAGATAGTGTTGGGGGGGTGGATAGAAGAGCGAAGAAGGCAGGCAAGGCAGGGATGGGGGCTCTGGTCACCAGGAGGAGGCTCTGCACGTGGTCAGCTCCGATGCGGTCAATGTTGCTCAGCACAGGGCCGTCCAGGACACTGCGGATCCGCTCCCCCTCCTGCTGCAGCCGTGGCAGAATCAGAGTCTTAATCACCTGTTGGAAAGGTGAAGCCAGGAACCTGGGTCACCACGGGGTCTCCCAGGTGGGGCTCTTGCCCACTAGGACCCAGGATAGCTCCTTTCCCCCATGTTCCCCCCCCCACTCCCGGGGCCTCACATCGTGTCCCAGCTCTGCCAGGCCAGCGATGGAGCCGTAACGCGTGGTCCACGGAGTCTTCTCGTCCACCCAGCTCTGTTGGGGAAGGAAGAGAAACCTGGGTCAAGGGGCCTGCAAGGAGGCGCCTGGGTGGTTCAGTGGGTTAAAGCCTTTGCCTTTAGCTCAGGTCATGATCCCAGGATCCTGGGATTGAGCCCCGCACTGGGCTCTCTGCTCAGCGGGGAGCCTGCTTCTTCCTCTCTCTCTGCCTGCCTCTCTGCCTACTTGTGATCTGTGTCAAATAAATAAATAAAATCTTTTAAAAAGGGGGGGGGCCTGAGAGACTATTGAGGACCGAGTGTCATGAACACGCTTTTATTGTGGATCATTAAGGCATTACAGAGAAGGCCCGAGTTCGAGGCCCTACCCCTCTGCCCTGTGTTTTCAGTGTCCTTTCCTCGCTCCACACTGACTGGCCTCTGGCTTGGCTGAAGACCTTTGTCCTGGTCACCAACCTGGGTTGGAGAGGTGAAACTGTTTACACTCCTCATTCTTTAAGATTTATTTACTAATTTGAGGGGGAGGTGGTAGGCAGAGGCAGATGGAGAGAGACTCTCAGGCAGACTCCCTGCTGAGTGCGGGCCACCAGAGCTCAATTCCACGACCGAGATCACGACCTGAGCTGAAATCAAGAGCCGCCCAGGCGCCCCCACGCTCCTCTTTCTTGCTCACCTTGGTGAAGGTCTTGGTGATCCGGGACTGGATGTTGTTAGTGGTCGTGCTGAAATGCTTGCAGATCTGGGCCACGAGGCGGGCAGCAAAGTCCCGGAGGGCCCAGTGATTGTCCACATCTGGCCGTAGGCACAGCTGTCTGCTCACAATGCATGTCATCACAGCCGGAATCAACTCGTGCACCTAAGGAAGAAGGCGCGAGCTGGCGGATTCAGACAAACGGCTTCTCGCTGGCCGCGGCGAGGTGTCCCGACCCTGGCGGGGCGACGGGGGGCGGGCAGGGCGGCTCACGTATTTCTCCAGGTACAGCGTGGGGTTGTCCATCAGCGCCTTCACCATGCGCATCAGGTAGATGAGCAGGGCCAGGTTGTTCTGCACCACGTTCACACGGACCTGTGGGGAGACGTGACAGGAAAGTGAGGCCCTCGGGTGAGCTCCCCCAGCGCCGCCTCTCCGCCCGGCCGTCTGCCTGCGCTCACCCCCTCCGAGATGAAGGTGCTGAATCGTGGCAGCATCTGATAGAGCCCCGGGTCCGTCGCAATGCTCTGCAGAGCCTCCTGCGGGGGAAGGGCGTGAGTGGGGGGCGGCGGGCAGGGATCCGCGGGGCTTTGGGGCGGAAGGGCCCCGGGGGCGGGGGCAGTGGGGCCTCACCGCTCTCTTGGCCTCACAGGAGCCCACGCAGGCCTCGGTGATCTCCTTGTAGTACAGCTGCTGCTCCACCGACAGCTCGTGGATACTGCGAGGCTTCAGCCGCAGAGGGGCGCCCTCCAGCAGGGGTGGTGCCTTCTTCTCCTTCCCTGGGTGAATCGGGAAGACAGGTTTGGAAACAAAAGCTCCCGGAGAGGCCTTGGACAAGACAAACCTGTGCTCCCCACCCAGTGAGACCTGGGCCCGGCTCCTTTCAGGGCTCCCTCGCCACAGGTCTCGCCCCCTGCCCAGCCCTCAGCCGCCTCACAGCTCACCATCTGGCTCTGGCGCGGGAGCCAGGGGAGGCCTGGCCTAGCAGTACTGACCTTTGCCGTCGGCTGGAGCAGCCCCTTGACCTTTGCCTTTCAAGGGCCCATCTTCTTCCTGGCCTGGCTTTGCTGACTTTAGGGGTTCCGTGGCCTCAGCCTTCTGCTGTTCTTTGGGAGCTGGTGGCAAAGCAGTCACAGCAGGGGTGACAAGAGTGGCAGGGGTTGGAAAGGAAGGAGAGGGGAGGTGAGATAGAGGGGGTGGGCTCTGGACAAGGTTACCTGGGGGTGGATTTTCTGGAATGGCCGGCTGGCAGCCTTCAATACTCAGCCAATGAGCTGCGAGGAAAGAAGGCGTCAAGTTGAACTGCGGGCTGGACGCGGACACTAAGGAGCCCCCCTGTGCTGCTCCCACTTCCTGCAAGTCACCAGCCATCTCACGCAGCGGGCTTCTCCACTTGCGACCCCTACCCCCTTTCCCTCCTCCCCACCACCTTGCTCTCCCCGCCCCTGACCTTTGAGGCAGACGTCCAGGGGCACCCGGGGCAGAGGGGTATTGATGATGTCGCTCAGATCAACCTCCTTCTCCTCGTAGAAGTAAAGCTCCCGGCCCCCGCCAGAGGCGAAACGGAAAGGAATGAACTCCTGAGCGTGGAAGCCGTAGAGTGGCTATAGGAGGAGAGAGACACCGGGATAAGAAGGGAGCCCGAGGAGACATGGCTGAAGGCAAATGCAGCACCTGGGAGGACGGGTCCCACCACCCTGCTGCTGCCCCCCGCCCCCGTGCCTGCCTCAACCCTATGGTGTCCCGATCACCTCGACATTCTTTAGCTTCAGCGCGTAGTCAATGTCACTGGTGGTGAGTTTCTGCCGCTTCCCCATGTGCATGAACTTCAAGGCATCCTGGGGGGTGGGAGACAGACCGATAGCAGCCTGCCAGCTTGAAGAAGGGTCCTGGGCCGCGTGGCCTTGACACGATGCACGGCTGGGCGGACGGGTCAGGTTACCTGGGCAATCTCCTTGATGCGGTAGCTGACCTCATCGGTCAGCAGCTGGCAGGTCTCCTCCTGAATCTGGGCGATCCCCATGGACTCGGCCACCACCTTCATCGACTCTGAGGGCAGCACCGTGTTGCTGAGTTTCAGCTTCTTCTCCTCGGCCATTCTGGAGCCCCGCCTTCCCTCCCCCAAAGAGTGACACCCCAGGGTGGAGAGATGGAGACCCTGGCAGGTGGATGGGGCGGGCAGAAGAGATTAAAAAAATAAATAAATAAGTCTGCACCAAGGGTAACAGAAGCAGGTAGCAATCCGCAGTGGCACACAGTGTACTGAGCTCCGATCCTGTGCCTGGTGCCGGGCGAGTGCAGCACGGTGAACAGACGTGGCCTCGGTGGAAATCCTGGCCCTCGATTCCCTAGCTGGGTTATTTGGGCAAATTACTGGCATTCTCCCAGCTCTGGATTTCTTCCCCGTATTTGGGATGCGGAACGGGCCTGGTTTCCTGAGGCGGTTTTGTGTACACCTGCGCCTCTCCTGCCCCTTCTTGCACCATTATTCGTGCTTGACACACACGCAGTAACAGATACGACGCTCCCGCTCTGAGCCCATACACCCATACAACTGAGCGTGACAAGAACACACACAGCCATCCCGACCAGGTCTTACTTTAAACTCATGGCGTGAACTTCAAACGAACCCCCTCATGCTGCCGGACAATCACTCTTCCTCTGCTACACCTCTGTGCACTCAGTTTCCCTCTGTCCCATGTGACACCTCCTCTCCTCCTCCTTCAGGCCATCAGAAGAGACCTCCACAGATTCCCACGACATCTACCGACCTAACAGCACCGGCGCCCACATCCTCTGCCTCCCCACCTGCTACTTTAAATATTTAAGTAGGCTCCACATCCAGCACAGAGCCCATTACAGGGCTTGAACTCACGACCCTGAGATCAAGACCCGGGCTGAAATCAAGAGCTGGGTGCTTGGGGTGCCTGGGTGGCTCAGTCGCTAAGCATCTGCCTTCAGTTCAGGTCATTGATCCCAGGGTCCTGGGATTAAGCCTCACGTCTGGGATTCCTGCTTAGTAGGGAGTCTGCTTCTCCCTCTGCTTATGCACTCTCTCGAATTAATAAATAAATAAATAATCTTAAAGGAAAAAAAAAAAAAAAAAAGAAGTTGGACGCTTAACCACCCAGGTGTCCCCGACCTGTTAAGAGAAGCTGCTTGGGCCCCTCACCAACTCCCAACACTGCTTCCTTCCGGCATCACCACCAAGTTTTCAACCTACCCAATCAGTCATTCCTGCCAGCCTACAAAATGTGGTTATTCCTCCCATCTTAAGAAAACAAAACGGTGGTCTATCCATGCAATGGAATAGTTTTCAGCCTTATAAAGGAAGGAGATTCGGACCTGTGCCATACCACGGATGAACCCTGAGGACACGATGGTGAGTATAATCAGGCAGCCACAAAAGGACAGATGATGTATGATTCCACTTACATGAGGTTCTTAGAGGAGTCAAATTCACAGACTCCGCAAGTGGAATTGGGTTGCCATGGGTAGGGCAGGGAAGAATGGGGAGTCAGTGTTTGATGGCAACTGAGTTCCAGCTTTACAACATGAAGAATTTTGGAAGGATGGATGGTGTGACAGTTGTATAATGATGTGAACATACTTAATCCCACTACACTGTATACTTGAGTTGGTTTAGAATGGTGAGCTTTTGTGTATTTCACAATTACAAATATAAAACAATATTTTTTTCATTCTACTTTCTCTCCAATATATACCCCGGTTTTCAGCTCCTCCTTGCAACCAAACTCCCTGAGTTATCTTAACTTTCTAATTCCTCTCCTCTCTTCTCCTGCACCTACTCCAAGCAGGCTTTGGACACCACCAGGTCCCCGAAACCACTCATCAAGGTCACTGATGACTCCACATTGTTGAATCCAAGGTCCACTCTCCCTCCTCATCATACTGACTTGCGAACAGCACACACTATAGCTGACTACTCCCTCCTGAAAATTCCTTACTCCACTGCCTTCTGGCTTTCCTCCTACCCCACTGGCCACCCCCTCTTAGTTTCCTTGACCAGTTTTTCCTCTTCTCATCTGCCTAATGCTGGAGCATCCTAGGCTCAGTCTTTGGTTTTCTTCTGTAGCTACACATGCTCCTTTGGTGATGTCAACTACCCTCAATTTTTAGTACTGATAATAGGCTGACAGCGGCCAAGTTTATATCCTCAGCCAAGAATGTTCTTTCCTAACATCGGATTTTTGTATCAAGCTCTCGACTTAAAATCTCTTCTACAACTAAATCTCCCTCCCCATCTGCTTCGTTTTTCTTCATCTTCATGGCAATGCCATCTATCCAGGCACTCACTCTTTACGTAAGCCCTCACATCAAATCGGCCAGGTGACCCAACCTGATTCTCCACTCCCACTGCATGGCCAAGTCGCCGTCATCTCTTGCCTGGCTAACTTTAACAGTCTCCTGACAAGGTCTTCCTGCTTCCATCCTTGCTCCCCACATCTATTCCCAACACAGCGGCCAGAGCAATTCTGTCAAAATATAAGTCAGACTACACCATTTCTCTGCTCAAAACGCTGTAAGGGTTCCCCATGTCCCACAGAGTAAAATCCAAAATTCTAATTACAGTCTATAAGACCCTTCATAATTTGCCCTCTCCCTACATCTCTGGTCTGCTTTCCTTCCTTCTTCCATCTTGTTCCAGCCTCAATGTCTTACTACTATTCAAACCTCCCAGGTAAGCTCTTGCTTTATGACCTTTGCTCTTTTCCTTCTGCCTCGAATGCTCTTCCCCAGATGCCAGCTTGGCTACCTATTCCCATCACCCTATTCAGCACCGCACTCCAATCCCACTCTGGTTTTCCCCTTCAAGGTATTTAACGTCTACTAATAGATACTGTATCATTTCTAATTGTTTATCACCACCACACCTTCCCTTTCCAAACCCCCCCCCCCCAACTGTGTGGACAAAAATCTGTTATGCTCACCGATGTATATTACAAGATCCTACACGGGTACCTGAGCATCTGTACTCAGTAAATCATTTGTTGAATAAATCCGTGAATTATAAGCCTTCGAGATGTAGGTGTTCAATAAATACACGGTACCACGATTGTCAAGATGAACAAGATACAGGTCCCAGCTTGGAACCTGCTTTGTGGCCAAAAGGAAAGTGGCTCGCTTTTAGTTGGCACTAGGAAGACTACTGTCAATCAAAAGTGTTTAGGACTGACTGCGGGGTGTTGATGGGGGCGTGCTGGAGGGGTGAGCACGGGGGCGAAAGAGAATTTGGTCTCCTCCTCCACTGCTGCCTTATGTTCAGGGAACACATTTATTCCACGCATACTCTACGCCTGGCGCCAGGTATATAAGACGCTGTCGTATCCCAGAGGTCACTGGTGAACTCTTACTAAGCCTTCAATACCCTCCGTACCCTCTGCCAGTAACAGCTCACAAAACACGCTACGACCTCAGGAGCCCCTCGGGTCAGTGGAGCCGACAGGAAAGCTTCACAGAAGAGGGTTAACTTGAACTGGATGTGGGTAGTGGCTTCCCCACCAAGGACGCGAGTCGAAGCTCCTCGAGCAATGGGGTACAGCGTGGAAGAAGGTGCTGAGAGCCCACCCTATCCCCTCAACATCCTCCAGTGCAAACACACACGCAGAGAGTCCGCACGCGCGCGGACACACAACCCACCGTCCTCCTCCAGGCTCCCACATAGACCCCTCAAAGGGCCTAGTCCCGGGTGGCACTCAAACCCGCCCCCGCCAGCCGAACGCCCCACGCAGAAAAAGTCTCTCACCGCCGCCAAAGCGCCGCTCACCCGGCGCTCGGCGCCATGTTGGCCCCGCCCCCTCCCGGGAGCAGGTCCTGGCAGAGACGGAGAGGCAGTCACTGTCCCTTCCCCGAGCCGGAATGAGTCTCCTGGGCTCACGGCCTGAAGTGGAGTTAAAAACGGATTTTTCCGTCTACGTGCAAGGAGCACACCCTCCTGCTACAATTACTTCAGTTTATACTTTTACTACCCGGCGGCCAGGACCCTAGGAAGCGCCACAAAACCTAGGCGGGATAGCCAGGAGGGCAACGAGGCCCCACCCCCTTCCGGCCCGGAACTGCGCGTGCGCCTCCCAGACCAGGCTGGATGGAAATTCCCGCCGACCCCCTCGGAATTTAAAGGGACCGCTGCCTTCCCGAAGTTGGTCTGAAGGCAAGGGCTTGTTGGTTGTGGACAGCACTTTGTCATGGGACCTGTACGGTTGGGGATGTTGCTTTTCATTTTGGCTGTGTATGGCGCTTGGGTTGCGACGCCGAAGGAGGAAGACGATGACACAGAACGCTTGCCCAGCAAATGTGAAGGTATCTAAAGGGAGTGGCCCCTATTCGCGTCCCTCAGCCCAACTCCTTAGTCTGGACAGGACCAAATGGACCGTGATTGGCGGGACATTCGATCTCCTTGAAGACCTGAGGGAGATTCTGGTGGAGCCTGGCTGAATTTGAAGGGGGTCAAGGGAGGGAATGCATAGAGCTACCCCACAGCTGTGGCACTACAATTCCCATAGGGCATCCAGAGGAAGTCCGCTTTTTCTTGCTTGCGTAGCCCCACTGATCTGTGGGAATTGTAGTTCAGAGACTATAGGCCCGGGATCACCCACTCTACTGAGCATCTAAAGTGTGTTCCCCCCATGACACTAAACCTAAGCCTGGGGAGCCTGCAGGAGCTGGGTGTGAGGCTCGTACCTGTGGACATCCTGTGCTCCACCCCTGCAGAGAAGCTCTCAAATTACAGGCCCCACGCTGTGGGGAGGGTTTGGGTGTATGTAAATAACGCCCTGAAGCTCATAAAGAGGAGGCCCCAGAAATGGAGGAGGTTCCCCATACGTGTGAGGTTTTGCGGAGGGTGTGTACTTATGGATTTTACTGTAAGCAGCGTCTTATGTGGCTGCATGACAGTGGTGACAGTGGGGGAAAGGGAAATACCAGAGCTGCACCACTGAGTTCCCTGGTTCCCTGGTTTGTTGCCTTCCTGACTTTAATTTCTTCCCTGGATTCTTTTTCTCCTCACCCCACCCCACCCTGCATTTCCGTATGACCTGAGCCTACCTCGCCTCTCCTCCTTGCTGTAACACCTCTGCAGGCCTCCTGCTGCAATCAGAATACACCCGTTTCGGGCACACTATAGAAGTCTCTTTGCTGTATGGCCCCCACCGCTCTTATATTTCTGTACCTCTGCTCCTGGCCTCAAAGTGCCCATGATTCAGCCACATTGAACTTCACAGCTGTCACTGAGCCGGCCTTATCCCCTTGTGCTCTGTGGCTCAGCACACTTTTCCCTTGGCCTAAAATAACCCTCTCCCTTCTATATTTGATTCTTCAAGACCGAGTTTAGATGTCAATTCCTTTGGAAGCCTTCTTCCTTTTCTGTCACCTCCCACTATATTGTAAGCCCTTGGAGGAAAGGAGAGTACCTGTGTCTCCAAGGTCCTAGCATAGTGCCTGGAACATCTTAGGCACTTTCGTTACCTGCCCTGTGTTTAGCTTGCTCGGTACTTCTGTGTAGGCCACTCCCTTTCTTGAGACCCACCTCATGCCAGGTCAGGTGCTAGTTGCTGGCAGACAGGGTGGCACCAGACGCAATGCTCATCCTTAAGGAAATCACAAGCTAGCAGCAAGTCAGTAAAAGACCACTGAATGCATTTTGTGTTTCCTAAAGAGACCAATCTCTTGTTAACCTCTAGTGTGGGGCCCATCACACTGCACTGTCATCATTTTTACCCAACTACATCAGCAATGTCCCATGGATAGGGACGGTGGGTCTTACTGCTCTCATGCATACAGGAGCTCAAAAGATAACTGCAGAATAAAAGCAAACATTATGCAGTGCCCACTATATGCCAGGCATTATTCTAGGGGCTTTACAGAGTTTGATTTATTTAATCCTCACCATACCCCTACGAAGGAGGTTCTGCGCTATTGTTATCTCTGTTGTAGAGATGCAGAAACCAAGGCACAGCAGAATTGCCACATAGCTATTAAGTGGCTGAGTCAGGATTCTAATCCAGCCAGTCTGGCTCGAGTCTGCTGCTTTTGCTCACCTACAGAATGAGTTGTGGGAATGTTTGTTTATCTTTCACATCCTTGTGGACATCTAGTGTGTAAGTTGCTGAGCCTGGAGCTGCAGGAAAAGCTGAGTCGCACTGGCCGATCTCGGGAGGTGCTGGAGCTGGGGCAGGTGCTAGACACTGGCAAGAGAAAGAGGCACATCCCCTACAGTGTTTCGTGAGTTACTCTTGTTGACCCTCTACATTCTGACCCCCGAGGGACGCTCCTACAGCATCTAAGAAATCTTTGTTTCCCCTCTTCTCACAGAGAGACAAGGCTGGAAGAGGCCTTGGAGAATTTGTGCGACCGGATCCTGGATTACAGTGTTCATGCCGAGCGCAAGGGCTCACTGAGATATGCCAAGGTCAGACTCTTCCCTAGGGCAGCGTCCCACTTTTCAGAAACAACAGTGGGTATCCCCTGGGACCCATCTCCCTCTGGCTCTGGAGAGTGTCCCCTCCCCATTGTTAGACTCCCTCATGTCGCCCTCATGGAGTTCACCCCTCAGTCTATGGTAGTTGACACAATGCAGCTGTGGCAGAAAGGGGAAGGAGGTGGGGCAGTGAGCTGGGCTGATCCCAGATTCCTATCTCTCAGGGTCAGAGTCAGACCATGGCAACGCTGAAAGGTCTGGTGCAGAAGGGGGTGAAGGTGGATCTGGGGATCCCTCTGGAGCTGTGGGACGAGCCCAGTGTGGAAGTCACGTTCCTCAAGAAGCAGGTAGGACATGATACTGCACTGCCCAGGGCAACGAGAAGGGAACCTAGATCCTTGGGAAGTCCACCTCTGAGCAGGGAGAAGGGCACAGAATGAAGACTCTGTCATTGATTGAAGTGGGCCCAGAAACATATCAAGGAATAATAATAGAGGCTGATAATATTTACTACCACATATTGAGCACCTACTATGTGCCAGATTTGGACCCACATACTTTCCAGCTGCTGCCTCATTTTACCCTCACAACAACTTTATGTGGTAGGTACTGTTACCATGTCCCATTTTATAGGCAAGGATCTGAGACACAGAGTGTTTAATAGCCTCCTTGGCAGAAGAGGTGCTAGTAAACGTTTGTTTGAATGAATGAGGATCACCGCCTTGGAAGCCAAATTTAGCTTCCTGCTCTTCAGGGTGGGGTGGGCAGACAGGAGTGAAGAGCAGAAAGGGGGGTTTCCAAAGCCCAGCAGAGTAGACTCCCTCCTGACCCTTGTACTTGATCAGTGTGAGACAATGCTGGAGGAGTTCGAAGATGTCGTGGGAGACTGGTACTTCCATCATCAGGAACAGCCCTTACAGCATTTTCTCTGTGAAGGTCATGTGCTGCCCCCTGCTGAAACTGGTAAGTGTGTGGGGCTGGCCCCTTTGCTGCCAAGCCACAACCTCCCCTACCCACCAGACTAATATCTAAATTGTTTTTCTAACACCCAACCTAGCGTGTCTACAGGAAACTTGGACTGGAAAGGAAAAGATCACGGATGGGCAAGAGAAGACAGAAGGGGAGGAGGAAGAAGAAGAGGAAGAGGAGGAAGAGAGGATCAACACACCAGGGCACTCCAAGCGTGACCCAGAGGATCTTTGACTCTTGCCTTTGAGCCCCCAGGAGGGGCAGGAGTCATGGAGAAGAACCCTCTGAAATCTGAGCTCTCCGTGCTCCACATAAGGGCATGTGTGTATGTGTGAGTGATCCCACCCCGGAGCTTGTAGCTGTTCTCTCCTGTCTCAGGTAGGATCCTGGTGGTGCAGCATAGCAAGGCTATGGGGACAAAAGCAGAAGCAGGAGGCAGAAGGCCTGCTCCAACAGATGAGTCCTCTGCCTGCCATCTAGCCCCTTAACTGGCAGGTGTGTGTGTGTGTGGTGACAATGCTGAAGGCTTTCCCCTTTAAATCTCTCTACTACTTCCCACCCCACCCAGAGGTCAGTGAAGCCATTGGAGCTATGGGTCTCAGGGGAAAGGCACTTTGTCCTCCGGGTCCGTTTTTAGACCTTTACAAGGAAGAAGCCAGCTTGGACATTCTCTACGACCTATACACACTGCCTGCGTCAAGGCTACAACCCAAGAAACTGAACAAAAAAAGGGACACTACGAAGATGGGCCGGTGTTTTTAAGTCAGGTGGGGTAGATATTTGGTCTACTTCATACAAATTTCACCGAGGGCCCACCATGTAATTTCACAGGTGCCAAATTTTCTACATCGCTAGTAAATTTTTTAAAATATCACCTGGGCCCCTAGTTTCAAACAACTTCCCTGCACACATCATACCTGGCCGATATAGCAGCGCCCAGAGAATGGGGCCGTTGGTCGCCCGCTGTTGGAAGCTAATGGTGGTTTGTAATTTGCAGTCCAGGGAGGCTGGCAGGGGTGCCCCGGCTGATAACCATTTAGGCGCGGGTCCGTGCCACCCTCTCGGCGCGTGCGGGGGAATGCACCGGAATTAAGAAACCGCGTCCGGTAGGGCGTCTCTGCCACCACACTCTGGGTTTACGGGAGCTCGCAGAGGACAAAATTTCGCGCGCTTTTCCGAGGACTGGTCTAACCTTGCAGGGAGGCAAGAATTAGGAGAAGCGGTGAAACTAGGTCCAAGGCGGGAAGCGCCTCGGTAAAACTGAGGGAAATAAAGAGGATATCCTTTGAGGGATGATGGGTGAGGACCTACCACAACAGAAGCGTGGCGGCGGCCGAAAACAGAGGGACTGGCGGGGTTCAAGCTAAGGGAAGCTTGGAAGATACCATCTACGGATGGGGGGGTTAGGGCGATACCATCTTGAGGGAGTTAGGGGGGGGTGGCAAAGAACAGACTTGGAAGGTGCTACTTGGAGGAGGCGGGGCGCACGTGGGAACCCAAAGGGACTGGGCAGTCGCCCACATCCGCACTTCCCTTCCCCAGCCGTCCCGATCCTGCCATGAGCGCTGCGGTGCGGACCGAGCCGCTGCGCGGGGAGCCGCCTCTGCTGGTGCGTGGCCACCCCTACTCGGTGGTGGTCCTGCTTCAGGGCTACGCGGAGCCGGAGGGGGTCGACAACGCGGTACGCGCCGACGGCTCCGTGACGCTTGTGCTGCCTCAGGCCTGGGGCTCAGCCTCCAGCCACCAAGAGTCCCCGCCCCACAGCGGCGGGGCGAAGACCGCCCTGGAAGAGGCGGCCCGTGGCCCCATCCTCGTGGACACTGGGGGCCCCTGGGCTCGGGAAGCGCTCCTGGGGGCCCTGGCGGGGCAGGGCGTGGCCCCTGGAGACGTGACGCTGGTGGTGGGCACCCACGGACACTCGGATCACATCGGGAACCTGGGGCTTTTTCCTGGGGCGGCTCTGCTGGTCTCGCACGACTTCTGCCTCCCCGGAGGCCGCTACCTCTCGCACGGGCTAGGTGAGGAGCGGCCCCTGCAGCTGGGCCCCGGGCTCGAGGTGTGGGCCACGCCGGGCCATGGGGGCCAGCGAGACGTAAGCGTGGTGGTGGCGGGCACGGCCCTGGGCACCGTGGTGGTGGCAGGCGACGTGTTTGAACGCAGCGGAGACGAAGACTCATGGCAAGCGCTGAGCGAAGACCCGGTGGCCCAGGAGCGGAGCCGGAAGAGGGTCCTAGATACTGCGGACGTAGTCGTGCCTGGTCACGGAGCCCCCTTTAGGGTGGTCAGAGAAGCCCCTCAGCCACGGAACTGATGTCCAGAAGACCAGAGGTCAGTGTGATCGCTTCCAGCCCCCTTGCAAGAGGCCGGTTTTCCATCGAGGACAGTCATCTCTATTACTGGTTCTGCAACCAAACTAGGACCAAGGACTGGCTCAGCCGAGTGCCACCTCTTGGGGGGGGGGGTCCCCCGTAAAGTGGGAGAATGTTCTTGGGAGGGTCGTCCAAAATAAAAATAGGAAACTGCATGGAAAATCATAAAGCCCTAAGGTAAATGCAAATCCTTAATGGAGATAATCATGCAAATTTGGTAATTACCAACTGCACCAGGGGGGCACTCCGGCCAATTGCTTATTTCTCACAAGATGCAGGCTTGCTGAGAGAAGGTGCAGGGCACAGAAGTAACACCTTAGTCACCTGCCTTTGATCCATCTGTTGTTCATTGGAGGAATGGTTCCAGCACTGTCCTAGGTCGTGGGGATGCAACAGTGAGCAAGCTAGACAAACTCCCTGTTCCTTATGGAGCTTACACTCTGGAGAGACAGACAACTAATAATAGTAAACCAGATAGTTACAGATTGTGTTTAGTGATATGAAAGAAGAGGAGAGCAAGACAGTGGTAGAGTGCCTGGATGGGAAGATGGCTGCTTTTATTTAAGGTGGTCAGGAAAAGCCTATGATGAGAAGATTTTTAATCAGGGAGCTGAATGGGAAGAAAGCCAGCCATATGAGGGTCTGGCAGATGTGCATTCCAGGCACAGGAACAGCAGGTATAAAGGTCCTGAGGCAGGACGACTTGACTTGCTTGAGCAGGAAGAAGAGCATGGGGTTGGACGGCAGAGGAGAGTGACAACAAATAATGTAGAGTTCGGCCGGGCCATCACGGACCACAGTTAGGGCTTTGGATTTATACTGAGATATAAATTTGGCTTTGGCTTTTGAGCAGGCTAATGGCGGTCTCATTTAAAGTAACTACTCTTTAAAAAAAAAAAAATGAAGTAACTACTCTTGTTCTGAGTAAAGAAGTGGTCAGAGTAGGACAAAAATAGAATGGGCTGGACTGGTTAAGAAACTACTGTGGCCTTTCAGGCCAGAGAAGTCAGTGACACCCGCTTTTATCCTAGAATTCCTATTATGGCTCTGGTCCTCTTCACAACTGTGTCCCAGGCCCTCCATCCACACAGTCCCAGGACCCACAGAAGCACTCAGATGGGGCAGATGAAGGAGAGGAGCAAATCCACCTTGTTGCAGATGAACCACCCTGGCGGGGGCGGGGGGGGTGCCACGGGGCAGGGCCTGACTGGGGGTTATTTCCCTGGTGTCCACAAAGGCCAGGTGGAGGTCCCCAAATGCAGCGCAGAGGGGCCGGTTCACCTAGAGGGGAAACCAGCAGCTGCCGCACACACAGACTTGGAGTCAGTGTTGCCCAGTTTGATGACCACAGAGTGCAGGGTTCCCAGGCCAACAGTTCAGCCACAGCTTGCCCAGATCCCTGCCAGTCACCAGATAAAGACAAATGGAGTGAAGGCGGCCATGTGGGGGACCCAGCCTCAGAACTACCATGCCGTGGGGGCCCTTGGCCAGCTCTTCTAGTTCTGGGCCACGCAGTGCCAGGAGGCTACTGGTGTGTGGAAGAGAGTACAGGCGCCAGCTGTGGGCCCATCAGCGCAGCACTGTGGCCTTCGGGGACCCTGGCTGATATGTGGAGTGCAGCTCCAACACCTTCAGGGCTGTAGGGAGGATGAAAAAGGGGCAGATGGGGGTTATGTAGAACAATGCACGTTCAACTCACAAATAAAAACTCCAGTCCTGACTCTTTTTTTCCAGAACGTGGTCCTCTGCCCATGACTCAGGTCTGGTCATGTAGAGAGCAACACATCTCTTTGGCCACACTGATTGTCTCCAGGATGGACAGGTCACCTAAGCTTGTTGAGGCGTGGCCATCTGAGGGGTTTTGCTGGAGTTAGTGGAAAAAAGTAGTTCTTCCCTGAAAGACTGACATGGGAAAGGTACGGAACTGTTGAATCCCTGTAGTTACATATATCATGAAGTGTACACCTGAAACCAATACTCCACTGTTAGCTAACTGGAATTTAAATAAAAACATAGGAGCGCCTGGGTGGCTCAGTGGGTTAAGCTTCTGCCTTTGCCTCAGGTCATGATCCCAGGGTTCTAGAATCAAGTCCCGCATTGGGCTCTCTGCTCAGCAGGGAGCCTGCTTCTCCCCTCTCTCTCTCTGCCTGCCTCTCTGCCTACTTGTGATCCCTCTCTCTGTCAAATAAATAAATAAAATCTTTTTTAAAAAATTAAAAAAATAAAAACTTAAAAAACTGACATGAGAAAGTAGGTCATATGCCACCTTGTGGGAAGAGCCCATGGGCCCTGAGACCCAGTGGAGGCTGAGGATGAAACTGAACAGTAGGGGGCAGAAGTGAGCAGTTCAGAGAAAAAGATCCTGAGAGAGACTAGCTAGAGCTCTGAAAGCCAGACCAACCCCTGCATTCTTCAGTCACCTGGGCTAATCCCCTCTTTGCTGCCTGAGCCGCTTTCTGTTTCAGTCACAGCAAGAGGAGTCCTGGGAGGATACAAACAAGCGTGGAAATGACCCATTAGAGAGGCTGAAGGAACCGTGGGAAGGCAGCCTTGAAGGGTGAGGCCCAGAGTGATTATCCTCTTAGAAGTTTCTTTCAGCTTCCCTTTGGTGTAAACTCTTGGGAAAACTTGACCCCTATGGTTAGATGCTTTTACTCACAAATATTCAGGGGCTCCACCTTGCCTGCAGCATAACCCAAACTTCCTCTCCCAGTCCTAACACCAACTCTGTTCTAGCTGGGCTGGGTTTGCCTGCCTGTCTCCTTCCTCCTCCTCCCACAGGCCTCTGATCCCGCTCTCTTTCCTGCTGTCCTCCCTCTCCTGTACCATCCCAACCATCCAGGATCAACTCAGCTCATCTCCTACAGAAAAGCGCCCTCTGAATTTTCTACCCCTACTTTAAACTCTTGTAACGCATTTCCTGTATTATTCACGTAGCAGTAGATATGCTGGTGTTGATCATGTTTTTGGGTAACGCCCTCTTCCCACTGTGTCCCTTGAGAGCAGAAACTGAGAAAAATGTTTCTCTGAATGCTCCAGAACTTGGTGTTTTGTCTGTAAACGCCATGTGATAAACAATGCTCTTTTCCTGATTTCTCTGGGCATCTGTTACCTGTGGCCCAGCCCTGACTCCTTGCCTAGGACATCAGTGTCTGACTTTGCCCAGGCTCTGGAGAAGCTCCAGTATCCTGTCTGCTCTGCAAACACAGGGGCACCACTCAAAGTCCTCCCTGTTCACTTCTTCCTACGGGAAGCTCCAGGTGTCTTGCCAGGGGGCTTTGGGGTAGGGATCCCAGGGTGGGATGAGAGTTGATGGGTCAAAGCTGTAGGAGGGAGAAAAAAAATAATAGGGCTAAATAACAAGAAGTTCACAAAGCAAGCAACCAGCTTGTCTCAGCCTGACCACACCAGCTCATCCCAGGGGCCTGTCCCATGGTGGGGGGAGGGAAGGGGAGAAGAAGGGCGGGGACCCAAGGAGCCACAGCCTCAGGAGGCTGGAAGTGACCCCCTGACAATGACGCCTCCAGTGACCTGGACCTGGAGCAGTTTCTGGAAGATGTTGGGATAGAGCCAGAGCGGCTGGAGGAGCCGTGGTGTGGAGATGACGACGTCGGGGACTTCACCTTGGCCTTCTTCGAGGAATAGCTGTGTGCCCTGGCTCCCTGCTGCTCTCTCACCCCCTGCCCTGCCGGCAGCAGGGGGAACCCCTCAGAGGGTCCCTGAGAAGCTGCTAAGTGTGGGGCTTGGTCACCGGCTACAGGTCAACTGGCCAAAGTCCTAGCTGTGCAGTTCCCGTGTTAATAAAACAGGTTACTGCTCTCCACAGCTGGTCTCTAACCCCGTGCTTCCCTTCGGCTTCCCTCCCTCCCCTCCGCTCCCTGGGGCACGTCCCTGTGTCTGTGGGAGGCTGGCACAGTCTGAGGGATCTGGGAAGGCCCAGACGCCTGAGTCCTGGGAGAAGGCCGTCGTCAGGGAGGGCAGGTCTGGGTTCAGACCCCGGCTCAGCCACTTACTAGGCGTGTGGCCTGGAGAAAAGCGCTAATCATTGTGGTCCTGTTCACGGCTTGGGTGAGCGCATCCAGTCTGGGCTCAGCTTGTTGGAGGCACCTAAATGAGGTGGTGCGCTTGGCACGTGCGTGCTCGTTCTGATCGGAGGGGAAGGGGAATGCGTAGAGGAGGGGCAGACCCTGGATTCTGGGCTGGCTACCAACATCGGGGTTTATTGTGTCCCGCCCCGAGGCAGTCACCCAAGTCCAGTACTGGGGGAGGGATCTTGGGTGTGACCTTTTATTATAATTCATTCGTGGTGAGAAGGAGAAGACAGAAATGGAGCTATCAGTTTTCTTCTTAGATGCCTTCGGGCAAATTCTACCAGTCCTTTCACTATTGTGAGCAAGGGCTGGGAAGGTGGAGAGGGGGTTGGAGCAGATGGCTCTGTCTCTCTGTGGTCCTTGGAGGCCTTCCACACCACTGGCTTCTGAGTCTTCCAGTCTGGCCGGGGTCATTATCAGAGGCTGTGACCCGCCGGGCAGCTCAGTCTAAGGAAGTCATCCTCCAGTCCCACTCGTATGAGAGAATATAGCGTCTCCTCCTGGGGGGCCTCCTTGGGAGGGAGGCGGGGAGGTGCTGCCGGTGGCGGTGGCGAGGAGCTGGGGAGGGTGGGGGAGGTATAGAGGGTGGGGCTGTCGTCCTGGGCTTCATCCTGGCCAGAAGGAAGGAGAAGGGGGTGAGACTGTGGACGGGGAGCGGCAGCTGTTTCTCTCCTGCCTTGCGAGGCTCATGGCTGGGATCCGGGTCTGAGCTGCAGCCCGTTCCTCTCTGCCCTCCCCCACTGAAACCTGCCAGTCTCCCCGACCCCCTCTTCCCTTCTCATCCCACCCTCCCCCCCAGTCTCTCTTCAGTGTTTCCCTAGGATTGGCCCCTGCTTCACAGACATGCCCTCCACCACCCAACACCATTTAAGAGGTCCCACCATCCACGGAGACAACCCTCTGGACACACGGGACTCCTACGTCCCCCAAACTCCAGGACCCTCTATCCCACCATACTCTGGACTTTTTTTTTTTTTTTTTAATCTCTGGGACTGAGAACTCCGAAATTAAATGCCAGCATCATTTCTATGCTACAACTTTCTTTCCTTCCAGTTTTCTCCTATTATCATCCTGCTTGCCTGTGCTTTGACCCCATGAACTCTTGTCCCTTAATAATCCACTTTCTTTCAGGCTGTCCAAGCTCCCCGCTGATCCTCTCCTCTGCATTCCCCCTCCCTCGAGCTCCTTGACCTCTCCTGTTCCCCTGTCCTTAGGCCACACTTAGTTGACACATCTCTAATTCTGGATGAGGCCTATGAATAGCGGACACTCTTTGCTTACCCAATTTCCATTCATTTCTTTCTACTCAGTTATAGAACCTTGACTTTATTTGGGGTGGCAGCGTGCTCCCCTACTGATAGATGTGGGGAAAATGACTACATCCTCGCCAATACGATTCAAGGGGAAGTTGTGGGTAGGATTTTCAGGAAGACTGTTTAAAGGACAAACAGCTGCAGGATGGTCTTTTTGTCCTTTCTTCCTTCCTCCTGTTTCCTGCCTGGATTCAGAAATGATGGCTGGAGTCTGAGCAGCCATCTTGGATCAGGAGGCAACCTTCAGGACAGAAGCCAGGAGCCAGGACAGTGAGCAAGAAGTTAGAAGCCTGAATGCTTGAGGACAGCAGCCTCTGCCATCCGCTTCCTCATCCTTTTCTGTGAGGGGAAACAAGGAACTCTGTCTTAGGTAAACCCTGTTACTTTTCATCTCTGATGCCAGCAGGGGAACATAACTTCTAACCAACATGTTCTAGAAGTTTCTACACCTGCATCGGGGAGACATGATCATGCGCAGTGATGCTTTTACAGAGCTCTGGCATCTCATCTGGGTGGAATCCTGAAATACCATCTTCTGTTCCCTCAGTGACTGTCACAGCTCTTCCTCTCCGACCCTCAGCCTCACTCTAGAGACAACTGCTGTGACTTTTCCTCTGCAGAATGAAGAGCAATTTGTATATGTTGAGTTTGTCAATAGTTTTCTTCATGGCTTTTAGGTTTTACGTCATACTTAGGGAGGCCATCTCCACTGCATGGACATGAGATGGTCTCACATGCTTTCCTCCAGTATGGGGTTATTTTCCCCCTCATTTAACTCTTTGATTGATCTCTGTGGAAGTTATTTTGGTGCGAATTATGCGATAATATTATTTTCTCCAGATGGCTGCTCACTTGTTCCAGCACCGTGTACTGAATGACTCATCTTTCCCCATTGATTAGAAATGCTGCTTATTAACCTACTAAATTCCTCAATTTATTTTGATCTGTTTCATCCTGCCTATTTTGGGGCTTTTCTCTTCTCGGATATTGGTTTATCTGTGTTTTCATAGGACTGGATCGAATCATTTTAATCATTACAGTTTAAAATTGCAGGCACTAATGCTCATATGGTCCTTATTCTGTGCCAGGATCTACTCTCGATGCGTTACATGTGATTGTCATGACAACCCCCCGGGTGAGTGTTATTACTCTTCTCATTTTACCGACGAGTGTGCTGGGGCAGAGAGTAATAGTACCATTGCACCGGAGTTTCCGCAGCC